TGTGTGTGTGTGTGTGTGTGTGTAGTGTGTGTGTGTGTGTGTGTGTGTAGTATATATATATATATATATATATATATATATATATATATATATATATATATATATATATATATATATATATATATATATATATATATATATATATATATATTAATATAATATATATATATATATATATATATATATATTCCCTATTTTCACCAAACGGCACGAAATCTCAAATCCACATGGTATATTCTAAACCCATATCCACATATAAACACTAAAATGAGTATAGTTAAGTATAGTGTACACAACTTAATTGTTTGATATACACATCCACACATAGACACTGACATCAGTCTAGTGTAAACAGCTTAATGTAAAAACAACTTATTTGATCAACTACGGCACCTAAAGTGGCAGCTCGAGTCGAGTTGAACCCCAAACTTCGCAGATTGTACACAAAATCGGCATCAACCGGTTCAAACTGCACGCAATCCTGATCCGGTGTTATATACAAATCCATATCAACACACACATACTGACAGAATTACAGTGTGCACAACTGATTTGTTCAATATACTCATCCACACACAAACACTGACATACGTACTGTACACACAACTTATTTTTCATTCATGACGCACCTAAAGCAGCAGCCCGGGTGGAGTTAAAATCCAAGCTCTGTTGATTGTACACAAAATCGGCATCGAACGGAGCGATTTGTTCTCTGAGCGTCAACAGATGTTTGATCAGAAACAAAAGTCCGTCCAGCCTGCTTTTCTCAGCGGAAATCAGGTCACTGGCCTGAGAAATGGGTAGTGTTTGGTCGGAAGATTGGGGTTAAAGACCAAAAATTGTAATGAATCTGCTGTGTAGTAATTAAGGATGGTCACGTGGATCGAAACTCCGTCCAGCCTATTTTCATGGACATAGTTCACTAGCCGAAATGATGGATAGGTAGATTGAATGGACTCTTTGGCATGCGTAGGCGTCAGCAGAGTCTCTTTATGAATACGAGTACTGTTACTACAATTAAACAGGGTAGTGCCAATGAGTCCCATTTAGTAGTGAGTGCCGATTAGGAATCGTTTAGTAGTTAGTGACAATTAGTAATGGAAGAGTCTAACTGAGTCTAAGCCTCAGTAGGTTCTCTGTATGAAGTCAGTAAGGGTCTTAGCACACTACAGTACACTACAGTACACTGTAGTACTCGGTAGTACACGGTAGTGAACTGTAGTACTCGGTAGTGAACTGTAGTACACGGTAGTACAGTGGAGTATCTCTATCGAATTACCTGTACAAGACAGTCGCGGCACACTTTGATGCACTCGTGCGAGATGCCTTCAAAGATCAGACGATCCACACAGCGATAGAGCATAGACAGACACATGAGTGTCATGTACATGGGAGGGTACCATGTGCTATACTGGTCAGTAATGGGCTGATCTCCTGTAGCAGTCACCTTGCCTGTGTGTTGGTGAAAGGAAACTGCAGCGATTAGTTATATTTAGAGGATACGTTGGTGTTGTTGTCACTAAATGAATATATATTTATGTATAAACATATATATATATATATATATATATATATATATATATATACTATATAT